TAATTGCCAAATCAAATTCCAATACAGCAATAATACAAAAATGTATTTTTTTTTATTAATAGATTAACAAATATTAGATTACATTCATCTATACTAAACTTAATTGATTTACTCTTAATAAATTTCAATATTCATTTTGATCTTATAATAAATTTGTTGCTTGAAGTATCTTATTCAACAAATTAGTATCATGGTTTTTTGTGACTAGTTTCCCATCTTCAGCACCATCTGGCTATTCAATATCAGCATGGTTCATAAAGTGAGAATAACATGCGGAACCAACCTCTCTAGACCATTCAAAATCGATCAATTTTACATCAAAATCATTATTCATAAGTTGACAAACTAGGATGTTTTCTTCACGCAAGTCTCCATGCACATGTCCTGCATCATGCAAATATCCAACAATTTCTTTGATCTTCTCTCTTAAATGATTTCGTTCATTAATAGAGGCGAAGTAATTTAATATCGAATAATCTTTCAAGTATTCTATATAAACTATAAGCCAATTTTCTGGAATAATTAAACTAGCGAGAACTTTTGGAGCATATCCAGCTTCTGCTAATAGCTAATGTATATTAAGTGAATATTTATTCTTTTAAACAACCTTTACACAAGCTTTTTTAGGTTTAGGTGGCCCTTGTTCATTATAGTGTGTTACTACCCAAAGAAGGTAATCATCAATTTTGCAATCAATTTCAACGTTATAACATTCATTGTTAATAATAATATTGAGAAATGATGGGAATGATGGATCCTTAGAGTGGTTTTGAACTAGGTTTCCAACTGATTATAGTCTTGATAAAGAATTTTGAGAGATTTTTTCAAAGCACGAAATGTTCTATAAATTGATAGCATCATTTTATCATGTTTCTGCCAAATAAGGGGAAAAACTAGGGTAAGCAGGTCTATAATTGCAATATCTGCAAGCACGGTACTGGAAATGGAAAAATAAGGCCTAAAGTGCAATCAAAGTCAATCAAAATTAATCAAAAAAAAATATCAAGCTGAAATTACAATACCTGCAATTGTAACTAAAAAGTATGGAAAATTAGTTACATAAGATGAAGGGCTATTTGAGCTACTATTTGCTTGTTCGTTGCAGAAAACTAAATAATAGCTACAATTTTCTAAATAAGGAGAAGTATTGGAGCAACAGTCATCACTTTTATACTCCAAGTTAGCCACACGGTGCTTAGAAAAAGACACAGTGCCGTCAGTACGTGCATCCTTTAAATTACTATCAGAATCTTTGCGTTTAATCATAAGTAACTCCACCGAATAACCGAGATATTCTTCTAGCATTTCATTTGTCTTATCTTGGCGTTTTTCCTTTTTATCATAATATTTGGCCATTGTATAACAAATATCATAGGTAAATTGATTGTCTTCTCTTTCTGGATCTTTCATACAAAATTCCTTAAATTTACCAAAAATAGAACTATATAAGCTGACAGGTATAGTGCTAAAAGCCTCTGGTGGACGATGATTAAGACAGATATATTTATCGGTAGGATTAAATTTCTGATGCTTAAACTATTCTTTAGGAATTCCAAGAGTCGATGGTACTGGCAAACCATTTATCATTTCTGTATATGATCTTTTAACATCTACGAAGCAAGATGGCGTAAGTTCAGTTGTTTGCTATCTGCTGATAGTTGAAATATCGTACCTTTTTTTATGCTAAGGATTTTAACTGGATTATTAGCTAGCATTTGTGTTTTTCAATAAAATCAACAAAATCCTTTTTCGACCAGCTAAAATCTATATTATTATTGCTAATAACAAACTTATAATCTATCAGTGAACCCTTAAGACCGAAAGTTTTTTCCAAATGGACATGTAACTGAGTAAAATCTTCCCAACTATCGGCACTAAGTTTTATTATAGTTTTTGATTCGAAGTACTGGAAGTATATAGGAACTAAAATAAAATTAATATATTAGTTAACATAAAGATATACCAAAATTGTAATAGTTTTGTAGATATATATGATACCCACCTTCCCCTTTAGCCTGATTTGATG